GGGATCAAAGCCCCCTCGGCATGACGTGCGTCCCCCCTTCCCTCGCACACGCATGGAAGCCCCCTCTGCTCCTGTTAACCACCGCTCAGCAGTCTCATCCTGGAGCTGCCTCCCGCAGAGGGGCCGTGGCCCACTGGTGTGTCAGCAACCGGCTCTGGCGACAGCAGGAGGACAGCCTCGAAGAGAGGGGAACGGGGTCAGGGGCTGGCGCAGCAGTGAGCACCCCCACCCCACGCCCAGTCTCCTGGGACTGACATCTACTGGGGGGGACCCGCCCCCGCCTCCCCCTACAGGGTGGGAACTTAACGAGCTGCTCCAAGACTTTCATCCCCAGCATCCCATCGGGTCCCCTGAGCACCACCAGGAGTGATTCCTGAGTGCAGAGCCAGGAGTAACCCCTGAGCACTGCCGGGTATGGCCCCAAAACAACACCACAAAGGATTTTGAAGCCCCTGGGGTCCCTCGGTCCCTCTTTGATCCCCTCTGCTCTGCTTCCCCCATGTCCTTCCGTGATACCGGTCTCCCTGCTGGGGGTTCGCCTTATCCCCCAACACATGCCGGGCCAACTGTGTGGCGCCCCAGCCTCCCACCTGGTCCTCTGTTAGGTAGAGCCATTGCTGCCTGGCTCCGTGTGGAGGGCAGGCCCGGGGCCTGACTGGGTGTGGGACAGACTCGGCATCCCCAGAGAGGCGACCCGTGGCTTGGCCTCCGTCCCCTTCCCCTCCCCACCCCGCTGCCATTCTGGCTCAGGTCTCCTTCTCCCGGCCACCCCCACCCTAGCTGCCCTCTCAGCAGGGCACTCTGCCAGGTTCTTGGCAGAGGCTGGTCCCTAGGGGCGCCGCACACATAGGGCACCCGCCAGACCCCTTCTCCCCGCCGTCCTCCCCCCAGAGCCTCTCCCCCTGGCAACCCACCTTGACACGAGCCCAGCTAGACTCCGCCCGGGCCTTTTCCTGTAAACGCACTCACAGCCAGGAGGGAGGGTGCCATATTAAATCAGGACTGATGGAAACCAGGGCCGCGATTATCCAGCGGAGACACAGCGCGGGGTGCGGGCGGCTGCCGGCTCCAGGTGAGGGCTTCTGAAGCTAATTGCACTTGGCTTTTATTAAGAAGATGATGGCTCCCCCACCCGTGCACTGCTGGGGGCTCCTTCCTGCCGCCTCTCTGCCCGGTGCCCTGGCCCAGCTGCTGGCCTGCCCTAGAGGGGTAGCCCTTTCCCCTCCTTGGAGAGCCACACACAGTGTTGGCCTCCAGCTGGGAGCCCCTTAGCAAGAGCCTCACCCTTAAACAGAGTCCGTACAAGCCATTTAGATTGTTTTCCTAGATGCATCCATGGACCTTTTCTGAGCCTGGATTCATGTCTCATCAGTAAACATCACTTAGCACTTCTTTTCGGTTCATTTGTTTTTTTGTTTGGGGGCCACACCCACTAGGTTCAGCTGCAAACCCCGGACACTTGCGGGAGCCGTGGGGTGTCACTCCCAGCAGTGCTCAGGGGACCTGAGCCTCCTGCATCAACGCCTGTGCTCAGCCCATTGAGTAGCTTCTCTGGCCCCCAAGAGGGATCTGGGAGAGCTAGACACGCTGGGGCATTTTCTTTGCACCTGGGACCCTGGGAGCAGCCCCCAAGTGCCGACCCTGGGAGCAGGGCTGGGAATGGTCCCCAAATAAAACAAAGCAAACGAAAACCTGTATTGAGTGTTGGGAAGAGGATGAAGCAGTAACTTTCTACCTGATTTAATTCAAGTATACTTTATATTTTTACCAAACAGTTTCAGAAGTGTTGGGTTATTTTTATTTTTTGGCTTTTTGGGTCACACTCGGTGATGCATAGGGGTTCCTCCTGGCTGTGCACTCAGGAATTACTCCTGGCGGTGCTCGAACCTGGATTGGCTGCCTGCAAGGCAAAATGCCTTACCAGCTCTACTATCACTCCAGCCCCTCAGAAGTTGTGGGGTTTTTTTTTTTTTTGAGTAGATATCTGAGGCTCCCAAGTGGGAGAGCATTAGGCTGGACTCATTTCAGACCCTCGTTGGTGTCTTTCCCAAGCCATCCACAAAGTTCATGACAAACCAGCAGATTGTGGTACCTTTCCGCCTGCTCACCCTCGCTGGTCCCAGGAAAACAGCAGGACCTCGAAGCTAACCGACAGCTGTGACGGCCGAAGAAGAGTTACAGGCCAAAGAGGAGTTTCTCTGGAGGAGACTTCAGCCTCAAGGCTTGCTCCCCGATTCAGCATCATCTTGAGGGAAGTCGCATCAGGCTCTGGCCGTGGAAAGGAAGAAGCTTGTTTCTGGGAAGCCCCTTGGGTCAGTGGCTGAGAAGTTGGGACTCTGCATCATGTGAGGAAACGGTGCCCGGCTCAGAGGGGTACCAGGAAGAAGGAGCGGAGAGCAGCCACAAGAACGTCGGGCAGGACCCCTCTTCTCTATCTGTGCTGCCTCAGGAAGATGAGCTCCGCTCTGGGTTCTGGAGAGTTCCAAGACACCTGGACAGGCGGTTGTCTCCTTGCAGGAGGCAGACAGTAAGTAGAGTCTGTCCCGGAGCCCTGAGGACCAGCTCCCACTGAGTCTGGTCACTCCCAGCACAGGCTGCCACGCCCCTTATGCGCCAAACCACAGGCCAGCCAGCCTGGTGTCCTGCAGGGAGGCCCCAGACGGGCGTGAGTCCTGGCCCTGTGGTACAGCTGGACTCCTGTCCCCAGGGAGGACACAAAACTAGTAAGTTGGTGAGGGGAGGGTGGCATCCAGGGCACTCTAGGAAAACTTGTTTTTCCTGCCCCACACCTGCTGCCCTCCGAGCTCATAGGGAGCCAGGCTGCAGGTATAACCCCCGGAAGAACAGGAGGCCCCCACCGCGTGTCCAGAGCAGGGCTAGCGCCGGACACATGGCCGCTCTCGCACATGGTTCTTCCCGGTGCCCAGCCGAGCCATAGGGTTGAATAAACATGACTTCCTCACTTAGGACCTCGTGGCTGAGCAGAGGGACCGGCACACAGTGAAGTGAATGCTGGGAGCGGGGCGGAGGCAGGCGCGGGGCCCACAGGGGCTCCTTAGAACCTGTTACTTGAGACCTCCTGTGCGAGCACTTGGAGGCAGCTGGAAATAGAGGAGACTTGGTTTGCAGGGGGCAAGGGGAGGCCTCAGGGCCACACCTGGTGACACTCGGTGTGGCTGGACAGTCCAGCATTCGGGCTGAGCAGTGCTGGAGGACTCGGGTCCTCCGTAGGCCAGACTGCCTCCATCCCTCTGAGCTGCCACCAGTTCCTAGAGCGCCCTCGGGTGGCGGGCGGGGGGGGGGGGGAGAAGGGGACGGCAGGGGGGACAGCCGTGCTTGGGTGGGCCGCCTGGGCCCTGAGCTGCGTGCAGAGCCTTCCAGCCTGGTGGGCCGAGGCAGGCGGCCGGGTCGGGGGGCACAGGAGGAGGAGGAGCAGCTAGACGGCGGGAGTCGTCAGCGCCAGGTGATGTATGTGGCGCCTGAGGGAGCTGCACGGTGACACTTCGGATTCCAGCCGGCAAGCGTCGCTCCACTGGGATCGGCGCCGAATTATTGCTGCATATGAAACCCCAGGACTGATGGGAGCTTTCAGTTACAGACTGATAGCAACAGCCAAAATTGGATTGTTTGCTATTTATTTTTTTTAACTTCTGTCAAGGTCACTCCTGTAACAGGAAAACACTGCCCGGGCAGCAGGGATTTTTCATCCACTCTGCCCGCAAGAGCAATCTGCAAGCGGCAACTCTTGTGACAGGGCCTGCCTTACCTTGGCCGCTCTTTCTAGAAAGCCGCCCAAGTTAGCGGTGTCTGAGGCACGGGCCGACTCCTACAGACCCACTGTCACCAGTTCCTTGGCCTTCCACTTCTTCCTTCGTCTACACTCAGATGCGCTCACCTGCCTCCCCGCCTGGTCCCCCAGATGCTCCTCTGCTTCCAGTTGCCCCCTCCCAGGAAGCCCCCATCAGAAATGTTTGGGCTGGAGCGATAGCACAGCAAGGGAGGGCGCTTGCCTTTGCATGTGGCCGACCCAGGTTCGATCCCCAGCACCACACAAGTTCCCCCGAGAACCACCAGGAGTGATCCTTGAGCACAGAGCCAGGAGTAACTGCTGAGCACTGCAGGGTACCCCCCTCCAAAAAAAAAAAAAGAGGAAGAAATATCCATGCTTTGTGGGTCCTCCCCTTCGCTGTGCCATGTACCACACTTCACGGTTCCCTCCCTGCCATCCCCTTAAACTCTCGGATGCCTTCTGCCTGGACATGGGCAGAGGCAGCGTGAGGTCCAGACTCCTGCCCCCAGGAGCTGCAGAAGCACAAACAGGCAGCAGACTTGCTTTCAGAGTTCAGGTTGGTACTGGGGTAGAACTGGCCACTTAGGCCTTTGAACCAGGTGGTTGATTCTGCCTGAGACGATTTCCTATACGAGTGCCCGTACCAGCCCCGCTCACCTCCCTGAGGTCACGCGTGGCTTGGCTGTCCCCTTCTCCCTCGCCGTGTTTGCAGCTCAGGCTCCCTCCCCCTGCCTTTTCTGAAGGAGCCCCCCACACACACTCCCTGGGGCAGCCCCCGGTTCCCCCAGTGCCCCATTCTGGTGCTTAAACACCAAAATGGTTTCAGGAGGAAAAGGATAGGCCCATCCCTTCACCTCTCGCTGCATGCCCCATGTGAGACATGTTCTCTCTACTCGGGACACCGTGGACAGCTGGGGAAACTGAGGCAAGTCACTCAGTGTCGCTGAGAAGCATAGCACCCAAGCGATTGGGGTGGGGTTTCCAGCCCAGGCCTCATATTGGAGCTGCAGGGGGCGGGGAGGGGGTCATCTGCTGGTGGGGTGAGCAAGGACCCTGGCTGGCAGCTACCTGAAGGAAGGCCAGAAGGAGAGAGCCGAGACAGGGGTGCAGCGGGAGGGACAGGCCGGGAAATCCGTGTCTGGGTTTTCTCCGTGGGGTCGAGGCCACCACCAGGCTGGTGCCCCAAGCCCCCTTCCCTCTCTCCCCACAGTACCTGGAGAAGCAGCGAAAGCGAGAGGCCGAGGAGAGGCGCCGTTTCCCCCTGGAGCAGCGGCTGAAGGAACACATCATCGGCCAAGAGAGCGCCATCGCCTCGGTGGGGGCTGGTGAGTGGTGCGGGGTCCCTGCAGAGAGATGCTGCTGTCCCTGCAGAGAGATGCTGCTGGGGCCACTGGCATGTGAGGAGCATGTCCCTGAGGCTTGTGTCCCAGGCGTGGGGCCCCTCGGTGGCGGCTCTCCCGGGCTGAGACTCGAGCTCTGACCTTCCTCTGGAGGGACACAGGCCCAGCGACGCCAGCCACAGGCAGCTGAGCTGGAGCGTGAGCTCTTGGTGCCCAGCCTGACTCGGCCACCTCGCAGTCCAGTTTGCCTGAACTCTGCTCAGCACTGGGGGGGCACTTCCTGAGCAAGTCCTGATTGTACCTTCTCCCCCACAGAAGCACTGGGTTTTTGTGTTCTCTTTTGTTTGGGTTTGGGGGAGGGTTGGGGAGGGTCATGCCCAGCGATGCTCAGGGGTTACTCCTGCCTTGGCAATGACTTCTGGTGGGCTTGGGAGACCCTAGGGGATGCTTTGAGGAAGACAAGCATCCCATCCACTGTACTATGTTTTTATCTTTGCTGTGTCCACATTTTGACCCTGGGGGCCAGCTGGTGTACCTCCTCGCCTGAGAGCTGCCCTGCTGCCCCAGTGCATTCTGCTAGAGAAAGAGAGAGAAGGAGGGTTTTGCATGGCTGGACGCATGACTCATGGGACTGAGCACATGCTTTGTACGGGGGAGGCTGAGTTTGGTCCCCGGCACCACTGAGGATGACCCTAGAGCTGGTGAAAACAAATGCTCTCTCTCCCAAGAGAGCAGCCTCACCTGACTCGGAGCTCGGCTCGGAAGCTGATCTCAGGCAGGCACAGCCAATGCCCAGAAACCTCTTGCTCGCTCAGACGAGGGGGCCCCTGAGACGGGGTTCAGAAAGCATGGCCTCTGATTCAGCAGCAGCCACATCCTCTGAGAGCTTTCTAGAAATGTATCACCCTGCTCCTGTGGAGTCCGACTCCCCAGGGTGGGCCCCATGGCTGGTGAGGCTGCAGGCAAGCCTGGGGCTCAGTTCCATCCGAGCTGTCTTGCTTTGTCACACACACCCATCCTCCCAGCACCGACCAGCAGCTGCCGGGATAGCAGCCAGTTTCCTGGTAGAAAGAGACATCAGGCTGCACTGGGAGTGTCCTCTGGGACACTGAGGGTCAGCACCATCAGCTCCAGGACACTGGTCAGAGGAGGGGTCGAAATAAGGAAGGCGGCTGCCAACCTGGGCCCAGCCTGACCTCTGTCCCCGACCCCAGAGGCCAGGCACCCCTAGCCAGAGCTCCCATCAGCGGGGCTGGTGAGAGGGTCCCCAGTGGCCAAGACCCAAACCCTCTGGGGAGTGGACACGGATCCTGCCCCAGCACCTGCTCGAGCTGTTGCTCTGGTCACAGCACTGCCGGCCCTCCACGCCCTCCGTAGCCTGTGTGTCCTGTGTGTCCTTTCCCCTGGTGCCATAGCGGGTGCTGAGCCCAGTGCAGGTCTCCCAGCACCTGCCAGAAAGCCTGTGCCAGTACCCCCTCGGATCACAGGTCTGCACAGTCAGAGCGACCCTGAGCCAGCCAGGGCTGCCAGAGCAGTGCCCAGGCAAGACAGTGAGGTGCTAGGCCTGAGCTGCCTGGTGGTGGTGGGGAGGGGGGATCCTGTCTCATCCCTCTGGCAGCGAGGGCTGCCCCTGTGTGTAGAGAAGCGGGCGGTGAGGCCGCCCTGATGACATCGGGCTCCCATGCCCAGAGCCCCGCCCAACCCCAGCATCCTCCAGGTTATGGTGGGTGGTCGGCAGCAGTAGGGGCCTCTGGCCCTCGAGGCCCCGCAGGTGTGGGAACTATCGTCCTCCCAGGTGTGTCCATGCCAGTGTCGGGCATGTGCCCGGGATGGGTCGGGTGGAGCCTGGCACCCCACGGGTACCATGAGGATGGGCAGCCAGAGAAGTGCCGCCGAATGAATTGATTTGATAAATGGCCATTTATTACCCTCACGAATTGGCTGAAACCAATTTCGGTCACATCAACCCCTGGTAAGTGCTGGGATATTGATTTGTGCAAAGTAATACAGTGAATTTATCAGCGTGATCCCCAGCTGCGGGGCCTCTAGCAAAGCTGGCGCAGACTGCCACCTTGCAAATGGTGGCAGCACCGCACCAAGCCCCCGGCCCGGGCCCCCTGGCCTCCTCCTTCGCCAGGGTCACCCACACGCCAGGCCGACCAGTCACCTGAGGCTCTCCTTCCAGAACCCAGAGCTGTTCTTGGTCGCCAAAGGGGCGCCTACCCTGTCAGGCTGACCTTCCGGGCCCCACTCCTGGGAGTGCCCAGGCTGTGTCCACGCACCTCTTCCTGCCCGACCCCACTGCCTTCCTCAGCGCCCAGCTCCCCATCTCCCCCTCTGTGAGCACGTCTTTACTCCCCGTCTTCTCTGCGCAGGCCTAGGCATTTCCCGGCCCCTTCTTGCCTCTCACTCCCGTCAGTCCATCCACGATGAGACCATATTCCTCCAACTCTTCAGCAGGTCTCAGACCTGGCCTTTTCAGCCCCCAGATCCGCTCCTCGGCCTCTCCCACCCTAACCACAGACCCCCCTGATCCCCCCGTCCCTCTCCCCATTGTCTCCCCACCTCCTTCCTTTCCCATAGAGTCTCATCTCCCCAGCTGGAGTGAGGTTTGGAAGATACAACAGCTCTCCTGTTTGAAATCCTGGGGGGCCAGGGAAGTGGGTCAAGGAAGTCACATTTGAGGCCCTGGGTTCCATCTCTGATACCACAGGAGAAAAGTCCTTGCAAGCGCCTTCCCACCCTCATGGGGCCTCTGGAACCCACCCCCCCCCCCCTCCACTCTGGACCACAGCCCTCAGCAGCGCTCAGCCCCACAGCCTCCCCTGCACCTCCACGCCGCATGATCTGTTTGTGCTCGGTGTCCCCGGCTCCGCTGGGGTCCCTTCTTGTGTCCTTTGTCCAGCCCACGCTGCGGGCTGTGGATCCTGCGGGCAGAGAGCAGAGCCATTCTGAGCCGAGCACTGCGTCCAGAGTAGGTGCCCCGTGCTGTCTGTTGAATGAGGGACTTTGGGGCAGTCCTGGTTCCTCTCCGAGTTGTGCCCACTCAAGGACAGAAGAGGGACGTCTGTTCTCTGCTCGCTCATGTGCCAGCTAGCCATGTGACTTCAGCCAGATGTTTGATCATGCTACCCCCACCTAACCTTTGACCCCTACCTGGACCCACCCCTTCCTGACCTGCACCCAGAGGTCTCATGGGGGCCGTGGAGCAGCCCTCCCACCTGGAGCGTCCCAGTAGCTCATTCTGGCCTTGAGACCTGTCCCCAACACCCAGGCACCTGGGCTCAGGCCCATGAACTCCCTTGGGGGAACTCTGTTCCCCCTGCTCCTAACTGGGGTTGACCCCAAACTCAGGGTCTCGGTTGTAGCCCAAGTGGCACCATTCTGTCCTCATCCTTCCCTTCCCTATCTCCCAACTCCAGAAAGGGCGTCGTCCCAAGCCTGCCCCTTTCCGGGCCCTCCGTTGAGTCCTGCTCTGTGAGCTGGAAACCAGGAGGGTCACCCCTGCATTGGAGTGGCGGTGACTGGCCCCTCCCGCCTCCACACCACCTCGCTTCAGTCCCCTCCCCGTCTGTTGTGGGTCATGTGGCTCCTTTACCCAAACTGTCCCCTCCAAGGCGGGGGCTCTCCCCGTCTCGGGGTTCCCTCTCCCAGGTGGGGCGCACAGCAAGTGGAAGGTTGTTGAATGAAGGTGAATGAAGTCAAACGCCCTTGTGACCTTCCTCAAGACATGACAGCAGAGTTCTGGGAGGATGCCGGGCTTCCCTCCAGTGATCTCAACCCAAATACACGCATGCACGCACACACACACACGTGGCCTGTGGAGGGGCTCATCACAGATCAATCCCTGGACAGTTCGTACGCTTGCCTCTCTGGCTAGCACTATCACCATGTCCAGGAAGATGACTCCAGGCGGGGGCGCGTGCTTTGGTCCCCAGCACAGGGGAGTCAGCCGACAGCACCACCCCAGGAGTGGCCCCTGAGCGTTGCTGGGAACAGCCCCAACTCAAACCAAAGAATGAGTCCTTCCTTCCTCAGAAGAACCATCCTTGCGGCCCCTTAAGCAGCCACGTGGTGGCCCGGCCAGAGCACTTGCCCTCATTCTTGTGCCAGGTTCCACGCCACGGATGGGACATGGCTATGAGACATTGGGGTGACTTTCAGGTGCAAGAGCTCCCGCAGAGGCCTGGGAGGGATGGAGGAGCTTTGGCTTTGAAGACCCTGGCACGGCCCCCTCGGCCACCTGATCACCCCCCAGGGCTGCTGGCACAAAGGGCTCTTGCCACATTCGTCCCTCCCACTTGGAGCCCACAATGGCTCATAGCAGCCGTCACCCCAGAGATGCAGACTGGATTGCTGTACCAGTGGATATGGAAAAGTGGAAAGGGGTCAGGAGGAGAGGGGAAGCTGAGTACCACTTGCCTTGCATGTGTGAGGTCCTGGGTTCGATCCCTGGCACCACCATAAAAGAAAAATAGAAAGGCCTTACTCGAAGCCAGACAGGTCTTTTGGGCTGGACCTCACACTTCCCCGCCCAATGGGAACTGAAATCTCTGCTCTCCCTCTGTGGTCCCAGAAGACCTAGGGTTCATTCTTGTCATCAGCCGGCACTTAGCTGAGTCCCTCAGGCAGGTGTGACCCAAAAACAAAACAAGAAGGTCAGCAAATAGGGCTCCTAACAGCCCGCCCAGCCCTCGTGCAGAGCACAGTGTGGTGGCGTTTGCTGAAAGGGCTGTGGCGGGAGTTTTACAATGGCCCCCACAAGGGACACATGGCCAGGAAGAACATTCTGGTAAGGGCCAGGGCACTGCAAGGAGAGGGCCTTGCACCTGTGGGAGCCTGCAGAGATGGGCAGGGACCAAGCCGTGTGCTCTGGAGACCCAGCCCCCTCGTGAGCCCTGAGAGCAGTGGTCAGGGACCATCAAGAGATACAAGGCTCCGGAAGTCCCAGGCTGCAGGGCTGCTTCAGGAGAGCTCCCAGGCAGGCACAGGAAGAGCAGCTCCTCTCCAAGAACCAAAGCCACAGGCCAGGGTCAAGGAGCCAGCCAGGCTGGGGTGAAGCCCACAGACTTTATTTGTGTCCTCAAGCAGCTCACTAACTGCTTTGTAGGTATTTCCTCAGCAAGGGGTCGGAGCCATAGGACAGCGGGGAGGGGACATGCCCTGCATGCAACCGACCCAGGTTCAATCCCTGGCATCCCAAATGACCCCCGGGTATTCCATACGGTCCCACAAGCACCACCAGGAGTAATTCCTGAGCGCAGAGCTAGGAATAACCCCTGAGCACTGCTGGTGTAGCCCAAAAACATGTTTCTTTGTCAATAAAGTGGGAGCCGTGTTCCCTGCCCCACCAGCTTCGGGATCATCACAAAACTCAGATGCAGCTCTGCCTGCGGACATTCCTTCTAGACAGAGAGCCACCGAGTGCGTGCTGCATGGAGCCACCCTGGAGGCACCCACAGCCATGTCACCAGCCCCATGTCCTCAGCTCCTCCAGGCCTGCGTGTCCGAGCCGCTGCCTGGGCCCTTGCACCCAGCACCCAGCCTGGGTTCTCCGCCCCGCACACCGCGGCCAGCCTTCCTGGGCCTGCCTCTTGCTTCCATTTTTCATTCTGTCGGACTCCATCTGCTTGGCCGTTTTTCTCTTCAGATATTATTAGAAATGTCCCGAGTTGTAATTGCTTAATGGTTGGCATTTCGCCTGTTTCACAGGGGGCTCAGATCGAGCCCACCCCCGACTCGTGCCCTGGGTCTGGCAGAATTGGCCAGGGACAGCTGTGCAGTGGAGCTGGTCTGGCGTTACAAAGCTCTCTCCCAGGTGCCCTATTAGAGGAGAAGGGGGCAGGATGGCCCCAGGCGTAATCTAATTCTCCGAGCTCAGGGCCTTCTGAACTGCAGAGGCCAGCACCGAGAAGCTGCCCTGAGAGAGAGGTCACGACGAGAACCCCAGGTTCCAGACACCGGGGGAGCCCCACTGCCCTCCCGGGTCCCCCACAGAGCCTCAGTCTGGATCAAGCTCCGGCTTCTTCCCCTCTCCCCTGGGCACCCAGTCTAGTCAAGTTTGGGGGAAATGTGACTTCTTTCAGGCCGCCCATATCACCCCCACCCAGCACACAGCCACACAGTGTTTGCCGAAGTCCCACTCCTCGAAGTCCCCTCATTTCCGTCAGAAACCCTGGGCTCCTCCTCCAGTTAAACTAGTAAGCAAGCATTTTAGGTCACGGCAGAGATTTGGGTGAGAGGGACCCCCGTGTGGGCCTGAACACTCTGCCTGGTATTTGATCTCTTGTCCATCATCACCATCATGCATCCCTGGCATCCTCCCACTGGTCCTCTTGCCGGCCACTTTTCCCTCTGCGGGCACTGCCCAGCAATCCTGTATCTCCCAGACCCCTGCAGCTGCTTCTTGGAGGATCCCAGCCACACCCCCGGCCCCCCAGGACTGACCGGCATGGCCCCGAGACTGCCAGCCTGCCTTTGGTTTTACTTGGTGTTCCAGACCTTCCCGCTGACATATTTCTCCTTGCTAATCTCATCCTGGCATTCTGGGACAGACCAGACATCCTGTTCTGTCCGCAGCCCAACCTGCATGCTGCCTGAGACTCTGCCCCCCCTCCCCCCTTCCTGCTTTTGACCTTCATGTTTTCCAATAATGGAACCCAACTGGATATTCACTTTTTTTTTTTCAGGAGTCCTGGGAGAAGGGGGGGGGCAAATGGGGCAATAAACCAATAAAATTGAAAAAAAAGAGGTTCGGAGAGAGAAGCTCCTCTGCTGCCTGTGTGTGACTTGGGCTGGTTGTGTGACTTGGGCTGGTTGGTCTGTCTCGCGCCTCAGCGCCCATGGAATTCGGTCGGGAGTAGCTATTCTCTCCTGGGGGAGCTGGCGTGGCCCGTTTGCTCTGTTGTGCCTAGCAGAGAGCACTTTCGGCAGATGTTCTTCCTCACCCGTCTGCCTGCTCTTTGACTTGAGCTCTGCCCCACTGAGGGAGCGCCAGCCTCCCTCCGCAGTGGGCACTCAGCATCCTCATCTCAGCTGCTGAGTGGTTGGCCGTAGGGTTCCTCGGGGAGGAGAGGTCAGTCTCATTCTTGCACAGCTGAGCCTCCAAGGAACGTGCTGTGGGTCTGTCCCACTCCCCTGCCACTGGACACCCTGCCGAGTGACGTTCCCACCCAGGGAACCCTCCACCCTTGCCCCTCACACCACACTGCCCATGATTTACTTCCAGAAAGAGCATTTTGGCTGTATTTCCAGACAGCGTACCAGACCCGTGGTTTTCCCACACGGGGAAGAGTCCAGGGTGCAGACCCCATACACCCAAGGGTTGGCAATGCGCTTCTGCCTCTCTTCCGGCAGCCGTTGAGTCCAGGGGTGACCAGCCGAGAGCTGAAGTTCCCCCTGAATTCTCCTTTACCAACCCCCATCCCCTTCACCTCCATTCACCATCCACCCGCCTCTCAGTTGCCCTGGCAACGCTGAGTGCTCATCCTGGAAAACTTTATCCGAAATCTGCTCTGGGCAGCTTTCCAAATCCATGCTAACCTGATTAGGTGTCTCTAGGGGCCTTGCCAGCTAATCAGATTAGGCAGCACTAATGGTAGTGAGGACTTTGAGTGGGCGCAGAGCAGTAAAACATATTGTATACTTAGTGATAATTATCCTGCCTTTTGTGTCATTGATTTATCTACCTCCCTCCCCGTTCCCCCGTCTTGTGTGTTTGGCCGTAGCGATCCGGAGGAAGGAGAATGGCTGGTATGACGAAGAACACCCTCTGGTCTTCCTCTTCTTGGGATCATCGGGAATAGGTAACGGGAAGCATTTCCGCCCCTGGGGATGGGCGCTCCCAGCCCAGCAGCCCCACCACTGTGGGCACCGCGCTGCAGCCCACTCCTAGTTCCCTCCAGCCCCCCAGTGCACTAGCTCCAAACCACAGAGCAGCCCGACCACTTGGTGTCGTGGTCATCTGGCCCTCCAAAAGTTGGGACTTTGTACCCTGCAGGGCCTGTTAATCCTCGTCCAGTGACTCTGCACCCCTGCAGGCCGCCACTGCCCCCTATGCCAGCTTTGCCCAGGGCAGCCTGGCCTGTGTCTTCCGTAAGTGAATGGAAGTCGCTGGTGGCCAGTGTGGTCAGGGGGCGGGGGGAGTGGGGGTGACCCCGTTGGCTGCCATCCTACGGTCTGGGCACGTTTCTGGCTGTTGACAGGATAACCCAAGGGGCCTCATCTCACCCTCACAGACCCACACACACTGGCGCCCCCACCTCCCACTGTCTCACTGTCTCCGTGGGGCAGTTTGTGCTTTTGTTGCTGCTGTTTCCCTTCTTCCTGGCCCAGCTCAGCCTCAGCAGGGAACCATGAAGCCTGGCTTCCAGAGGCTGTGCCCTCGGAGCCTCCCCTCCTCCGGACTGCCACGCTCCTGTCACAGTCCCAAGGAAGACTGGGAATCCAGGGATGGTTTTGTCTGCCTCTGTAGCGTGTGTCTCCAGGGCCTGGCTGATGGCGAGCTTGTAGGTGTCTGGAGAGACGCCATGCCGTGAGGTCTCAGAGTGCTCCTAGGGAGGTTTGGACCAGGCTTCAAAGGATAAACTGACTCTGGAATAGGGGGTTTGGGTTTTTTGGGGTTTTTTGTTTTGTTTTGTTTTGGTTTGAGTTTTTTTTGGTGGGGGGTGCTGTTTGTCTATTGATTTTTCTTTTTTGGGTCACACCTGGCCACGCTCAGGGGTTACTCCTGCCTCTGCATTCAAGAATTACTCTTGGCGGTGCTCAGAAGACCATGCAGGATGTTGGGGATCGAACCCAGGTCGGCTGCCAGCCACTGTACAATCTCTCCAACACCAAATTGACTCTGAATTACATGTGCCAAGCCCTAAGGCTTAGGATACCGCCATAAGAGGAAGTCTAAGTCTCAGGGCCTCCCACAGAAGAATCAAGACATGACAGACTTTGATGGCGCTCATAGCTTAGCCAATAATCCCCGCGGTGACTGGGGGGCCGTCACCCACCCTCTCTGCCCTCACTGAGCCTCCACATTCCTGTCCATAAGATACCTTGCTTCCCAGCGTCCCCTCCCATCTGAATCAGTTCTCTCTCAAAAGGTACTGATCTGGTCCTAACCAAACGTTTCTCCTTTCTTTCTCACTAGGGAAAACGGAGCTGGCCAAGCAGACAGCCAAATACATGCACAAAGACGCCAAAAAGGTGAGGGGGGCCATCCCCAAACTATAGGTCTTCTGAAGCCCCCCACTCTTGCAGTCCCCAGCCCTTAGGACTCCCAAATCTGGCCAGAGCCATCAGAAAAGGTGGGCTTGTCCCTGGAAGCAGGCCCCAGCTCAGCTGCCAGTTAATCATCCCACCTCTTTGGGACTCAGTTTCCGCATCTGTGAAATAGACTTTTGGGGCCTCTGGGAGACCAGCGAGAGCCCTCCGTGCGCTGTCTCGGGCTTCTGCTCTGTTGGACATGGCGCTGAGTGCTGCGAACAACCATCTTATTGTTGTGCTTGGGACTGGCTTGTGCTTGGGATAGTGCCAGAATGAGGCATGGCGGTCACATAGTAAGGGTACCAGGAAGGCCCCCGCAGTGCCAGGGATGGCACTCGTGGGCTCATGCAGGCAAGGCAGTGTCACTGAACCAAACCCTATAGTACAGAATTTATTAAGACGCTCACCCTGCCCTGAAGAACTCGGACTAGAGGGGGAGACAGTGCAGGAGATTGACCATTACCGTCCAGTGCCAGCAAGGGCGCCTGGGTGTGTAAGAAGAAAAAAGTAGGAGGTCAGAGGAATCCTCTTGCTCCCTTCAGCCTCTCTGAGCTTTTAAACATCATGGGGGCCAGTCAGACAGGCTGTCCAATGCCTGCTCAGTTGGACTCTCTGGGCTGACCAGAAATGCTTTCCTGCAGAAAGAAATGTCAGAGAGAGGAGTTCTTGGAGAAAAAAAAAAAAGTAGTTCAAGTAAAGCCAAGCATTCTTCCACCTGCGCACCCGTACAGAGGCGAGGTCCCTCTGCCCGTGCTAGAAGTTGGCCGTCACCCCAGTTACCCTTGCTTAGTTGCTATAAAAAGCAACCCCCTCCACCCCACCCCCACCCCCAGGCCAGAGCAATAGTACAGTGGGTAGGGCCTTTGCCTTGCACGAGACCAGCCCATATCCAGTCCCTGGCATCCCATATGATCCGCTGGGCACCGCCAGGAGTGATCCCTGCATGCAGAGCCAGGAATAAGCCACACACCTCTCGGGTGAGGAGCCACTTAAGTCTCTGCCAACCAGGCCCCAGCAGCACAGATTGTCCTGTAAACACCCCCGGGCACCTTGTGTCCTGCTGCTGCCTAGCTGACCCTGGCCACTTCCCTTCTGCCAACTGGCCAAAGGCTCCTGTGCACTCTGTTCTGCCAGGAGCTGTGTGTGACCTCCCCCAGAGTCGAAGCCAGAGCACGCCCACCTGTGGGCTGCGGGGCACCAGCGAGAAGCAGCGCCCACTGCATCCTAGGAGGCTCAGCAGAAATCACATTCTTACGATAATTCATCAGGTTGGCAGCAATTGAAACAATTAGCACTCTGGAAAGGGCCATAAACTAGCGAGACTATTAGGAAGATGCAGTTACGGGCAGGGACCACCTGATTAGGGATGAAAGATTCTGAATTCTGAGTGGTTTAATTTTAATACTGTCAGAAAGGTTAATATTTAATTACAAATTATAATCTCCTTATCCGAGCTGTCTAATCCGTCTTCATCCACAGTAGACGCAGCAGGAAGGTATCTGCTGACTCGCGGGTGTGGAAAGGAGAAGGGGCTTGTTAAAAGGCTGATGATGCAAGTCCCTTGGCCGTGGGCACACCTCTTGCCTCTTTCCTTGGAGGCATCTCGGCCATTGGCTGCCCCGCTCTGGGGCGGGGCTGTGGGCGGACTTCTGTAGCCCCGCCTCCCACCCCTCCAGGGCCCCTGAGCTCTGCACCCTGAGCAGGTGCTTCATATGAGCCTCACCCCCTGCGCCTCTCAGAAGGCAGCACCTATGTCAGCATAGGTGGACTAGTCCCAGTGGACTCCTGCTGCCCCCAGGACCACTTCTTCACCAACTGCTGTCTTGTCTGCTCCTCAGATCTGTCCTCAGGCAGAGCTCAGATGCCAACAGAGAACTACTTTTCAGATGAGGCCTACAGGGACCAGAGAGGTCACTAAGTGCAAGCTTCGCATGCAGAAAGCAGGGTTCAGTCCACACCACTGCACATTTGCCCAACACTGTTTAAGCACTGGGCCAGATTAGCCCCCAAGTACCACAGGGTACAGTGGCTACTATCCACCTGCAAATACAAAAATAAAACAAACAGCAACAACATAAAAAACCAGCAACAGGAACTGGAGCCATAGCACAGCAGGTAGGGTGTTTGCCTTGCACATAGCCGACCTGGGTTCGATCCCCAGCATCGCATATGGTCCCCCGAGCACCGCCAGGAGTGATTCCTGAGTGCAGAGCCAGGAGTAACCCCTGTGCATTGCCGGGTGTGACCCAAAAAAACAAAACAAAAAAAAAAAGCAACAACAAAAACTGAGGCCTACGACATTGAAGGAACTGGTCCAAAACCACTTGTCAAGGAAAAAAGTGAAATCAGAATCCAGCCTCAAATCCTCTGTCAATACCTTTGCTCTCAGCCACATTGGAAGGTAGATTATAAATTTGTCTGTTGGGCTCCACGTGAAAACTTGGGGTTCTGAGTGGCATAAGGAGCCCAACGTAACCATTCATGTTTTGTTTTTGAGGTAACATTACTCAGCAAAACTGTACATTTGGGGTTGGAGAGATGATAGCAAGGGTGGGGTGCTTGCCTTGTCACCAACCGAGGTTCAGTCCTCAGCACCCCATATGGACCCCCCCAAGCCCTGCCTGGAACAGTCCCTCAGCACAGAGCCAGAAAGAAGCCCTGAGCACAGCCAAGTGTGTCCCCCAAACAAAACAAAATGAAATGAACTTCTGAGTCATATTTTAGGACAGGAGCTCATCCAGGTCCATGGTTGGGGTTAGTTAGTCATTCAGGGCCTGAGGGGCTCATGTGAGGATGAGTGGACAGGACAAAAGCGACCAGAAGGAAACAGCAGGCACATGCGCCCGTAGGTCTGGGGGTGGCATGGCGCCAAGCAGCGAGGCCCCTCGCGCTGTTCGCCTCCAGCCCTGTCTCTGCCTTCCCACCTCTCAGGACACTCAGCGTCTCCTTTCCACACAGGGCTTCATCCGGCTCGACATGTCCGAGTTCCAGGAACGACACGAGGTGAGAGTCCTCGGCATAGTGGTCCCAGGGCCTGTTCATGCTGCCTGTCCCGTTATGGGGGCCTGAGACCGCTCCAGCGGCTTGGGGGTTTTGGGGGGGGCATGCTCGTGGGTTTCTAGCAGCAAGTCCTTGCTGGGACGTTGCATGCTGCAGGCATGCAAAGGCCCCTGACGTGCTCCCTTCCTCACACCAGGTGGCCAAGTTTATTGGGTCCCCGCCAGGCTACATCGGCCACGAGGAGGGCGGTCAGCTGACCAAGAAGCTAAAGCAGTGCCCCAATGCCGTGGTGCTCTTCGACGAGGTAGACAAGGCCCATCCAGATGTGCTCACCATCATGCTGCAGCTGTTTGACGAGGTGTGAAAAGCGGGTGGGGCTGGGAGGTGGGGGGGGCACCTAGAGATTGGAGGGGCGGGGCTGTGAGTAGCAGGGTTCACCGCCCACCTGCGTCCCGTTCAACGTCCTGCTCCTCCTCTGTGTGGCCAGCCTATTAGCAAGTGAGCTAAGCCCCCTTTCTAGACTAGGACCCGAGATGGTCACTTAAGTATTGCCCCAGTTTGAATCACACCCAGAGGTGCTCAAATCTTACCCCTAGCTCTGCGCTCAGGGATCTCTCGAGGGACTATATGGGGTGCTGAGGATCGAACCCAGTCGGTTGTGTGGAAGGCAAGCCTCTTACCTGCTCTCCCCAGGCCCGGTGCCTTCTTTTGGATGTATTTCCCCCCCACATCCCCTTCATTGTTGTGGTCCTAATGACCAGCTTGGCACACCTGGCCACAGTGCTTGTCCGTCACTCGCACTGTGCTCACTGGGGTCTGCACCGCAGTCGTGGTGCTTGCCGGGGTTTACACTCTTACCTGAGACATGCAAGTTCTGGCTGTGCTCACAGCTGTCGCTGCTGTGTTCGCCCTCATGCTCGGCCCAGGTGCACCTCACTAAGAGACCGCATCAGACAAGAGGTGACAGAGGTGCCAGAGAATAAGAGCGAGCGTGCGCAGAGTCTTAAGTGCCAGCATTGTTCACCTCAGCCTCGGGAGTTTGGGGGACAAAGGAAGAAGCTGAACCCAAAACTCTGAGACTTTTCTCTTTTTTTGCCACACCCGGAGATGCTCAGGGCTTACTCCTGGCTCTGCACTCAAGAATCACACCCATTGGTGCCCTGGGGACCCTATGGCATGCCAGGGATCGAACCCAGGTCAGACATATGCAAAGCAAGCGCCCTGCCCTCTGTGCTACCCCTCTGGCACCAGTTCCGAGAACCTTCTGGACTTGAAATCTGTGTGTCAGCCGTGGTGTCCACCAGTTCTTGGAGGCGCCAGTCGTGGCATCACTGTGCCAGTGGCACCTGCCCCTGAGAATCTTCCCTCTGAAGAGCTGCAGGCTCACCATCACCAGACCAGACAGTGCTCCCATTACCACGTGAGCTGGAACTGCAATGGAGAACTCTTTGGTTCCAGTTGTATGCCCGTCTCTGATCCTGCCCTGAGGAAGGGAGTTTCCTTCAGCCCTGCCCAGAGTCCAGAAACTCAGGGCAGCTGCGCTGGAGAACTAAGCCCAGTGTTAATTCAGCAAAGGTCTCTGGGCCAGGCAGACAGCGACGGGCAGAGGGGTGTGGAAGCAGCCTGGAGACCTGTCCAGAGAGGGGCCAAGAGGGAGTTGCTGGAGGAAGAGGAGACAGACATGAGCAGGGGCTTCAGCTGTGCCCAAGGCCCCATGTGGGGCAGTGGGGACCCAGGCCGAACCCGCCCCTGCCTCTGTCCCTGAATGAGGCAGCAGAAGCAGCTCGGCCCCGAGGCATGTATGAGTACACATGCGCTGTGTCCAGTCTGGGGGTGTGGGGAAGCCTCCCCACCCGTCCTGCCCAGAAGAGCAGAGAGGCTTTCAGCCAAGTCTGTGTCCTTGCTCTTTTTGAGTGGATGGGCGTGAGGTGGGGCCACCCCTGGAGTTACTCGGGATTGAGCCGGTGTCTTTGGACTGCAGGACCAGTGCCTTCCCTGCTGTGCATCTCAGTGGGGCCCTTGCTCCATTACCGGGAGCATCTGCTCCTGCAGGCTGGGCTCCCTGGGCGTCCCTGAGTGAGCCGCGCTCTATGTCCCAAGCCAGTCATCCCCTAGTCACTTTGCTCTGCTCCCTCTTCTGGCCTTCCCTCCTCTCCTGCCTCTTCTCTCTCCTTCCGGCATATGCTGCTGGTTATTGATGCTTTTCCCTATGTCGCTTCTAGAAAGCACTAGACAGTCCATGGAAACAGGCCACGTTGTGTCCTTTCTCCTCTCTTGTTCTGTCAGGCCAGAGAACAGCTCCAAAGATAGAGACGGGACGTGTTTCGGTTCGTTCCATTTGTCTGCATCACATGCATTTTTGCCATTCACTTCTGGCAGGGGGTTCTTCTCACTACAGCACCATGGGCTGTGCCAAGGGCTCCCCACCGACCAGCCTCCCTCTCCTCACACTAACCCCCTTGGTGCTATTGCTTCTGTCCTGGCTGCATGACAAAGGCCCAGCCCCGAGGCTGGTGGCCACCCTGAGAGGTGCCCCCAGCAGTCAGGGAAGTGCTGTGTCTAGAGTACAGCGGGGAGGGCTCATGCCTTCACAAGGCCGATGGGGGTTCAATCCCCATCGTCCCAGATGGTCCCCAAGCACTGTCAGGAGTAATTCCTGAGTGCAGAGCCAGGAGTAAGCCCTGAGCACCGCCAAGTGTGGCCCAAACCACTGCCCACCCCCCCAGAAAAGTGCTGTCAGCTCCCAGCCATGCCACTACTGTGTCTTCCCAGGGCCGACTGACGGACGGGAAAGGGAAGACCATCGACTGCAAGGATGCCATCTTCATCATGACCTCCAACGTGGCAAGCGATGAGATCGCGCAGCACGCCCTGCAGCTGAGGCAGGAAGCTCTGGAGATGAGCCACAACCGCATCGCAGAGAACCTTGGTGAGCCACATGGTCCGGGGTGTCTGGGCAGCGGAGGGTGGGGGTTCTGGGGCCCCAGCCTAGGGTGGGTAGAGGGAGAGAGACTAGGAGACTGGGTTCCTCAAGAAAGCCGCCTCTCCTGGGTGACAGTCCCACTGTGGACAGGGCACGGATACTGCAGGTGAGACCCTAAGGCTGAAGGCTGAAGAGAACTGGGACAGCCAGAAACTGGAGGGGGGGGGGGGGGCTCTGCCCATCCCCCCAGGAAGACTTCCTGTGTGGGTGGGTGGGGCCCCAGTGAGGTCCTCAGCCCCATTCTTCCAACTCCAGAGAGACAATACAGGGCATGCGACTGATCCTACTTCAGTCCCGGCACCACGTAGGATCCCAAGCCCTGCCAAACATGACCCCTGAGCACAGAGCCAGGAGTAAGCCCTGAGTACCACTGGGGTGGCCCAGAGAAACCAAAACCCAAGTCAGCAACTGCAGCCTGAGCCCTGGCCCTTCTCCCGCCCGCTCCCTCTCACAGCGCCCACCTGCAGAAGGAACTGCACAGGCTCTGGGAGGGTTCAGTGAGAACCCAGCACAGTGCCCCCGTTCAGGTGAGGGGACCACAGTGAGGCCCCATGGTACTGACTGGACCAGCTTCCTGCAGCCCGTAGGAGCAGGGCTGGGGTTCTGCCTGGCGGCTCAGGCCCCAGGAGCAGCCTGCCCGGAGCCGGCAGTTTGGATTCTCTCTGCAGGGGATGTGCAGATCAGTGACAAGATTACCATCTCAAAGAACTTCAAGGAAAATGTGATTCGCCCCATCCTGAAGGTAAGAGGTCTTTGTCCTTCCTGCTGCATCCTCGGGCAGGAGAGACCCCACACACCCCCACGCACCCACCCACAAACCTCCTCAAGCCCCTTTACTTCCCCACTGGACCTCAGGCATTCCCATGGGGTCACTGTGCTCAGCCCTCCCCCCCTCTGCCACAGGCTCACTTCCGGAGGGACGAGTTTCTCGGCAGAATCAATGAGATCGTCTACTTCCTCCCCTTCTGCCACTCGGAGCTCATCCAGCTCGTCAACAAGGAACTGAACTTCTGGGCCAAGAGGGTAAGAGCAGGACTTGGCATGGGTGGGATGGGAAAGCAAGGCACCCCAGGCTGGGGCTTCAGGCAGAAGGAGGAGCACGGAGAGCGCGGAGCCCCTCAGCCGTGCTCCCCTCCGACTCCTCAGGCCAAGCAAAGGCACAACATCACTCTGCTCTGGGACCGGGAGGTGGCAGACGTGCTGGTCGACGGCTACAACGTGCACTACGGCGCCCGCTCCATCAAGCACGAGGTGAGCCCTGGAGCCCGCCTTCCCCGCCCCACCCCCACCCACTCCCGGAGCTCCTGGCCCATCTCCCTAGAATTTGGCCGTTAGGGTTATCCATGTGCTGAGCAGATGCCCAGACACTGTATGGGACAGTCAGACCCTTATCCCAGAAGGGCACTGAGGTTCTGGCTGGAACCTCCTGGGGGGATAAGAGGGAGACACAACTGAGCGGGGAACCTCAGAAGGATGCACCAAGCCTCGGGTTGCCATCCTGAGTGGTCATAGGAGCTCCACCTTGCAGGGCAGAAAGCTGCACTTCAGAGCATTGGGGCCCAAGTGCAGAAAGGCCAGGGACCAGATCGATAGCACAGCAGGGAGGGCACTGACCTTGCACACGGCTCACCCGGGTTTGATCCCAACATCCCATAGAGTCCCCCCCAATACCACCAGGAGTGGCTTCTGAGGGCAGAGCCAGGAGTATCCCCTGAGCATCACTGGGTGTGACCCCCCAAACAAAACCCAACTGGGGAAAGGCCCAAAGCTGCCCGTCAGTGCCAGGCTGGCCTGGACCCAACGCTGCCGGCCTGGCCCCTGCCGTCTGCAGGTGGAGCGCCGCGTGGTAAACCAGCTGGCCGCGGCCTACGAGCAGGACCTGCTGCCCGGGGGCTGCACGCTGCGCATCACCGTGGAGGACTCGGACAAGCAGCTCCTCAAGAGCCCCGAGCACACCTCGCCCGAGGCCGAGAAGCGCCTCCCGAAGCTGCGGCTGGAGATCGTCGACAAGGACAGCAAGACACACAAACTGGACATCCAGGCGCCACTCCACCCCGAGAAGGTGTGCTTCACGCTCTAGCACCGCCCTCCCCTCTGTGCCCTCGGCAGCCAATAAAGGCCCCTCAGCTGAGGCGTGACAACTGACCTCCTTCCCTTCGGCCTCTGCTCCTTGGCCCGGGCAGAGGCAGCCGTTTATCCCCACCCCAGCCCCTTTCTCGCGGGCCCCCCAACCTGCCAACAGGTCTCCGGGAGAGATGCAGCCCCTCCATCCTCTGAGGCAGGAGGAAAAACTGGGGCACCCTTATTTCTCTTCTCCTGCATGCTCCCCGGGCCCCCCAGTCTCTGGAATATTATCCCGTCCCCAGGAAAGCCCTGAAGTATAGCCGCTGAGACCAGAGCTGGCTGGAAGGATGGGGACCCAGCCGTGACCTGCCACCATCTGCTGTCCTCGGGCAAAAAAAAAGGTCTCCCCAGGGAGTAGAGGGAGAGGGCAGAGGCCCGGCACAGAGGTAACACACCAGCGGAGACCGCGATTCTCCAACCTTGGGGCTCGGACAGTGCGAAGCACCCCTAGGCTGATGGCCGTGGCCTTGCCCCACTCTGGGACTGGACAGGAAGTACCAGAACCAAGCAGTAGCTGCTCCGTGGAGGCCTCCTTTGGGAGCCTTAACTGCTGATGTGGGGGCTCCCAAGGGGGCTCATGGGGCCGGGCTCCACCCAGGTCGCCCTGAAGAGTGTCTCAGCCTTATTTGGACGCGGTTCCAGCTCGCTGGCCCTCAGCAGCTTTGGGGACCGCGTGCATGGGGGGTACCAAGAACAGGGTTGGCACCATCCCCCAAGTGTGTTCCCTGGGCTACCCTCCACCCAGCTTGAACACCATCCTCAGTAGCAGATGAGCCCTTGTAGTAGCATCCCCTGTCGCTCCCTTAACCCTCCCTGGTGCGCCAGCTTTGTCTCAGGAAGCAGAAAGCGGGGCCGGAATCAGACTCCCTTGGGATGTGGAGCAGAGTCACACCAATAGGGCAGGGGTGAGGCCCACTGAGCCTGGGGGCCACCCCAGCGGTGCTCCACCTGTCACTGTCTTGTCCCTTCGGGAACTGTGGCTGCTGCTCCCTACCTCAGTGACTGCTATAGTTTATTTTTTTAAGATTTTTATTAACGTCCTGTTTTGAAATCATTTTGGGCTTAAGCGTCCCCACATGCCCACCAGCTAGCTTCTCCTAAGAGAAGCTTCCAGACCTGCAGTGTGGCCTTTCAGTGTGATCATGCAGACACAGTGATCATTTCAGATACTGTGACTATTCAGACAGTGTGGTCATTCAGACATAGTGTGATCATTCAGATGTTGATACTAATCTGGAGACGTTCAGATTTTGTCCGTTTTCCACTTAGGTTTTGTTTTATTTTATTTTATTTTTGGTTTTCTTTTGTTTTGTTTTGTTTTTTTTGTGGGGGAGGTCCAGGATCCCACATATGGCAATTCCTTTTGTCTCCTTTGACCTGTGCCAGTTCTTCCATCTTTGTCTCTTGTAACAACGGCACTTTTGGAAATGACTGGGCCGGTTCACTTTCCCCTGGCTCTGGCTTTTGATCGATTGTCCAACATGTTGGAGATCAGTTTTGCACAAGACAGCCACAAAAGGCACCATCACAGCAGCAGGGGGGCGGGGGGCACAATTGGGTCACTTTACTGAGTGGATGTGTTCTACATTTCTTCACTGTAAAACTACTGATTCCCTTTGAAACTATTAATAATCATGCAAGGCAGCACTGTGCCCATGTCTTCTTTCTCCTTGGAATTGTGCCCTTTGAACTCAGCCTGGCTCCCAGGAAGTGAATGTTGTATTTGCCTGATGACGATGTTCTCCCCTCCTCCGCCGGTATTTATTAACTGGTATTCTGCTGTAAGGAAGAGCTGTCTATTTCCCCTCATTTATTTATTCAATAATGATTCATATCAGTCTAAACCAGTGGATATTTGTTTTATTCTATGCCTTATGATCAGTATGAATATTGTTAATTTTGTTGCTAAAATTGGCCTACTTTTGGCCATCAGAGGCTCTTACAAGTTGACTCCTGTGTTGCTTTTCCATGTCACTCCCTTTCTTTTTTGTTTTTATCTTTATTTTTTTGAGCACTTTCTGGGCTGGAGCGATAGCACAGCGGTAGGGCGTCTGCCTTGCACGCAGCCAGCCTGGCCAAGCCGGGTTCGATTTTTCTGCCCCTCTCAGAGAGCCCGGCAAGCTACCGAGAGTATCTCACCTGCACGGCAAAGCCTGGCAAGGTACCCATGACATATTCAATATGCCAAACACAGTAACAACAAGTCTCAAAAAAAAAAATACGGCGACATTACTGGGCCCACTCAAGCAAATCGATGAACAACGGGAGGACAGTGACAGTGACAGAGCACTTCCTGGCAACAGGGGTCTCTCTTCCAGGCTCTCTCTTCCCTTTCCCATCCCAGCCCTGATGTCAGCCATTTCTCCAAGCACTTCCTGTTCTGGTGACTTGAGAATGGTACTTAGAAACCAGAAGCTGGGTGCTAGATATGTTCATTGCTGCTAGAGTGACATTGTTTCTGGGTCCTTTTAGTACACAAACCTAAGAAATTTCTGTATCACATGCACACATCTGAATTTTATTGCACCTGCACCTTGTTCAAGGCCTTCCGGGCAGAGAGACAATCCAGGAAGTAAGCCTCTTGAATGCTGCAGCCGCTAGCATTGCATATATCCCCTAAATACCACCAGGGTCACTCCCTGAGCACTGCTAGATATAGTCCCAACATTTAAAAATTAATTAGTAGACGACATGACTTTATATTGAGAGCTACAGACCCTACTCAATAGCTAGGAGATAGAACAGTCATGATCATGACATCACATCATGAAACTCCATCCCCATATCTTCTGCTTTCACCTGTTTTTGGTCTTCAGACTTTTCATAAAGATTAACCCAAACTCAGTGACCCTAGATGAAACATTTCCTCTGGATAAAGTTCTTATACCTGCTTAACCATCCCTTGGTTTAATCAGCCCTGGCCAGGAACAGTTGATACAGTTGATACAGTTGATTTTGTGTGTGTGTGTGTGTGTGTGTGTGTGTATCTGTGTCTGTGTGTGTGTGTTGTTGTTGTTGGGCCACACCTGGTGATGCTCAGGGCATCTTCTTGGCTCTGCACTCAGGAATTACTCCTGGTGTTGATATGGGATACTGGAGATGGAACCTGAGTGCCCAGGCAGCTGCATGCAAGGCAAGCACCCTGCCTGCTGTACTATCTCTCCAGCTCCAAAATATGTCTTCTTTAAGCAAGCAGAGTGTCCCCCTGTTGCACCCAAGGCTCACATCCTTTGGGAAACATTGCTCTAAATCTGAGTAACTTTCACACAGGAAAACTCACTGGCCACCTTCCTGGGAGGGGGGCCAAGGTGCAGGGTGGACCCTCTGATTCTGAGGTGTTTGTGCTTTGCTACTTCTGGGAACACTTTGCTCAGCCTCTTGGTGAGGTGGTGCCTCCTGCCCCCCTGCATAGCGGTGCCCCACCCCTTGCTTTACTTGTGTGTTTTGTGACTAGAATATAAGTGTCAAGACAGCCGATTGTCCAGCTCACTCCCCTGTTCTAGAGCCTGGCATTATTACTGAGCCCAGGAGCCTAGGTATTGAGCCTAGGTATTGAGGGGTGTTGGCCCCACAGCAAGCACATGCTTTTTTTGTGGGGGGGCGGGGACGTCACACCAGCAACGCACAGGGGTTACTCCTGGCTTTGCACTCAGGAATTACTCCTGGCAGTGCTCAGGGACCAGATGGGATGCTGGGAATCGAACCCAGGTTGGCCACGTGCAAGTTAAACACCCTACCCTCTGTGCTATCGCTCCAGCCCCAGTAAGCACATGTCTTGCTGTGCACCTAAAGGCAGGATGCTATCCTTTGTGCTGCCAGCACACATGTGTTTATCATATACCTGTAGCCAGGCAGTAGAATGCATCAAAACTGAACCCTGAGCAAATGGGGCCCAGGAAGGCCTGAATATCCTGGAATGTGAACCAGGACATGGAAAGAAAAAGGAACTGCCTTATTGTTCAAGAGAAAGATCTCTGGAGCTGGAGCAATAGCACAGCAGGTAGGGCGTTTGCCTTGCACACGGCCAACCCGGGTTCGATTCCCAGCATCCCAAATGGTCCCCTGAGCACCACCAGGGGTAATTCCTGAGTGCAGAGCCAGGAGTAACCCCTGTGCATCACCAGGTGTGACCCCAAAAAAGCCAAAAAAAAAAAAAGAGGAAGATCTCTAGGGTGTGACATGATTGTTTTAGAAATTTAGGGAGAAAAAACACAAGAAAATCGACCAATAAAGTTAAAGCTTAGGGCTGGAGCAATAGCACAGCGGGTAGGGCGTTTGCCTTGCACGCGGCCGACCCGGGTTCGATTCCCAGCATCCCATATGTTCTCCTGAACAACACCAGGGGTAGTTCCTGAGTGCAGAGCCAGGAGTAACCCCTGTGCATCGCCGGGTGTGACCCAGAAAGCAAAAAACAAACAAAAAAAAAATTAAAGCTCAAAGTAAACAAAATAAGAAACCCAATATAAAGAGAAAAAATAAAGAAAACAACAGTGTTTTGAAGGCATCAAAATAGATTTTAAAAAAAAAATCTCAGCCTGATAAAAGGAAAAAGTAAGGATCAGGCATTCCACAGGAGAGCACTTGCCTTGTACATACAAAGCCCTCACATCTGTCCCCAGCACCGAAAAAAGTAAGAGAAAGGGGATGCAGAGACTACAACAAGTAGGTCGCTTGATTTTCATGTAGCCAACCCAGGTTTGATTCCCAGCATCCCATATGATCGCCTGAGCCCATCAGGAGTGGTTCCTAGTGCAGAACCAGGAGTAACCCTTAGAACAGCCTGGTATGGCCCGAGAATCAAAAAGTAAAGAAAAAAGCAAGAAGAGCAAAAACAAAATAGGTTAGAAATAAGACATCAGACATAGCCAGATAAATGGATGGATTTTGTTTTCTGGGTGAAGTTTTTTATTTTAGCGCTTGATGATCCACAGAATTGAAAACAGCAAGTAGGTAATTTCCTAGCAAACAGTGACAAAGATATAGTTTAAACAGATTAATTGCCAAAGAAGAAATTGGAATGGTGATAAAGGTATCCATTACACTTTTTTCTTTTTTTTTCTTTTTTTGGGTCACACCCGGCGATGCACAGGGGTTACTCCTGGCTCTGTACTCAGGAATTACCCCTGGTGGTGCTCAGGGAACCATATGGGATGCTGGGAATTGAACCCGGGTTGGCCATGTGCAAGGCAAACGCCCTACCCTCTGTGCTATTGCTCCAGCCCCGAAATCCGTTACACTTTTTAATTGAACTATATCTGGAAAAGTCTATGAACTGCAAATATGTCATCCAGTGAATTAGCACATAATGAAAACCCATTGAAGCCATCACCGACTCCCTAAAATAGATGAGTCATGATTTTCTTCATTTGGGGGCCCTCCCCGGAAGTGCTCAGGGCCCGAGCGTGCAGGCTAGATGCAGGGTTGTTCAGCAGTACTTGAAGACCACCAGGGTCATGCCCAATGGAGCTAGAGGCTCAGGGGAGGCCGTGATGGGGTTCCAAGGATCGCATTCAAAGCCTCAAGCCTGTGAGACGTGCACTTCTAAATCCTTTGAGCTATTTTCCTCCACCCACAGCCAAAGTTGTCATTGTTAATTAGCTGCTTTAGACTAAAATTGAGAATGAGAAAAAAATTAAGATGTTCAATTTATTTTTCAAATTAAAGTGTCAGATTAATGCTCAAACCTGATAAAGTGCCGAAAAAAATATCCCAGTCTAATCTCACCTATGACTATAGATGTGGAAATTCCAAATAAAATAAAATTGGACTGTAAACCATGAACACGTATTTATTTCAGCAACACACACCTCGGCATCAGAAGACTTAATGTATGTTATTTACATGTCTATAGATTAAAGTTAATGTTACTTAAGAGATGTTTTTAGGTAAGATTATACAAGACTACTTTTAGGAAATATATTCTAGTTAGAATTTGAATGCAAAAACAGTTTGCAAATGCTCCATGAAACTAATTTTACATTTTTGTATTAAGCGATACACAGGAAAATTTAAATTATAAAATACATACACATTTCTAAATATACATATACACACAGAATGATAAAATGAAAATAAAGTAACAACATTTGGGAAACCTAAATAAAAGGTGTACAAGAATTCTTTATTTTTGCTACTTTTCTGTTTCCGTAGTTTTTTGTTTTGTTTTGGCTTTGTTGGCACACCCAGCAGGGCTCACTCCTGGCTCTGTGCTCATGACTCACTCCTGGAAGGTTTTCGGGGATCACATGCAGTGCCAGAAATTTAACTCAGAGCTCTTGCAGGCAAAGCATATACTCAATCCATTGAGCTCTCTCCTGACCCTAAAATAATATTTCAGTTGAATGGAAACAGTTTATTTCTAAGATATTTCTTTCCCAGTTAAAAATAAAATCATCCTTCCTTTTGATTATCATTATCTTTAATTGTTGGTTTGCTTGTTTACATTTTCATATATTTAGATATAATTCACTTAATACATATTTGGTGGATTTCAAAGTTACTCTGCATGCGCCTTGTATTTAAAGGAACAATGGCACCAAGGTCTCTGGTCACTGGGGAGCACTCAAAAAAAAAAATGGAGGCATAAACTATAATTAAAGGAATGATAAACCTACTATTAAAAAAAAAGTAAACAGTTTAGGTGAGGGACTCGGGCAGCAGTGTAGCAGGCAGGGTGCTTCTTGCACACAAGGCCACGGCGTTAGCCACGGCAAGCACCTTACCTCTTGAGCCCTTGTTCTAGGTCCAAGAGAATACAGAATGGCTGGAGAGATGGTACAATAGGCTGGATGCATGCCTTGCATGCAGCCAACCTGGCTTCAACCCCTGGCACCTCATGTGGTCCCCC